TACTATAAGTTTGCCTTAATGTATAATTTATGTTTAGAGCTTTTCTGCTCCAAAATTAACAAAGGTGTTGCAGATGGATCTGAACAGAGCACCTGATCGTGCCTGGCTTGGCAGCTTCTGTCGTCACCTCCCATGTACAGGTGTGTGGCGGCTGGGATTTAATACCCTGTTTTATGAGGTGCAAATTTAATGAGCGGTTATTTCTAAGCAACATATAAACTGAAGGAACGAACGCTATAATTTTGTGCTCAGTGTGTTTGTGCACCGGGATTAAATGCATCCGTATTTCCTGTTGCTCGTCGGAGACTCCCAGGTGTCCTGTCCTCTGAGCTCATCAGGGAAGCCGGCCGGCCAGGGGTCAGGCAGAAGGGCCTGGTGTGTGGCTGCGGTTTGCTGAGAGGGTGTGACCACAGTTGTCCTTGTAACGAGCTGTCTTTCTCTGGCTATTCACAAAGCATGTTTTGTGAGTGGAAAGGAATGTGGGAGTCATGAATTTCTTTTTGAGTCTCTTGCGGAGGAGGAGGAGTGGACTGTTAATTTGTGGAATTGCCTGACCCAGCCTCCAGACCCGTGTGTGTGTGTGTGTGTGTGTGTGTGTGTGTGTGTGTGTGGTGGGGGTGCCATTCTAACCTCTCAAGGCTGGGGCACTAAGCAAGTCATTTTCCAAGAGAGGCCAGGGGACTCCTGGGGCACCAAATATTGCATGCCTGACTATGGCACCAGAAGTCATTGTGACCTTTTCCCAACAATGACTTCATTTTATAGCCTGCCACCTGCTGCCACTCTTGTCACTGTCTGGCCACCTCAGACCCCACATGCGTCACAGCTGGCTGAGTGCACTCATAGTCCAGCAAACTGACCATGCACGTCTGCTCCCAGCTTGGTGGTCACCCCACAGCTGCCCACTCACCACACCGGGCCAACTTCTGTCTGCACACTCCGAACTGGTGATCGATCAGGGGCATGGGATTTTATTTAACGCTGTGAAGACAGCCACGGTCACACTGTGGCAGCTCTGTAGCCTGCCTTTCACAGTTTAGAGGCCTCTGTCCACTTGCTGTCCTGTTTAATTCTTGCAACACCTTTGGAAGGCAAATGATGAGGCCAGGAGATCGACTGGGCCCATTTTACTGATGAGGAGACTGAGGCCCAGAGGAGGTAAGTGACTTGCTCAGGATGACAGAGCCCAGAAGTAGCAAAATTGAAACTTGAAGCCTGGACATGGAGCTCTTGAGGGAGGATGAACCAAAAGCCAAATCTTCTGGAGTAGAGGCTCTCTTAGGAATTCCTTTCAGGGTGGACCGGACTAAGTCTGTTCACTGAGAGTATGTTGAGGTGAGATGTTGGCTTATAGGGGGAGCGTCTGGTTCCTGGGCTGGATGAGACCCTCAACTCTTAAAACCATTGTCCTCTCCTCTCCCCTCACACCCCAGGTACAGATGAGAAGATTGAGGCACAGAGAGGGACCATGACTTGTCCAGGGTCACACTGAGCTAGAGACGGAGCTGGAGTCTGACCCTGTTTTTGTTTTTTGTTTTTTTTCTCCTTCTTCTTTCTTCTTTCTTCCTTCTTCCTTCTTTCCTCCTCCTCCTCCTCCAGCCTCCTCTCCCCTCCTTCCCCCTCCTCCTTCTCCTTCTCCTCCTTCTCCCTCCTTCCCCTCCTCCTCCCTCCTTCCCCTCTTCCTCCCTCCTTCCCCTCCCTCTTCCTCCTCCCTTCTCCTCCTCCCTCCTTCTTTCTTTTTCTTCTCTCTTTTTTTTTTGAGACAGGGTCTCGCTCTGT